CTTCACTGAGTTACGCAAGCCCCTTCGCCACGACAAGGCAGTGATCCATGAAGGGGTGTGTAACTTTGCTGAGTCACAAACGCAAAACAAAAGCAAAAATACGTGCTTAATTTTCATTATGTAGAAATAATTCATTTAATTTAGAATGGCTTAATGCTAAATATGGGAGTCCATAAACTCAGTCCATAAGTCTGTGTATGTAGAACTAACTTCATCAAAGTGAGTAGGAATTACTTTGGAGTGAACATGTATAGAATCAGAACACTAGACTCATATCTGATACCTCCTAGCATTTTATTAGTATTAAATAAATATTACATTGTGGAAAATATGCATATGCAAACTTAAATGCATATTTAAAATTCAGTCTGTTTTCTAGCATCTTTAGGAGAAAAAGTCATATTTGTTTTTACCGATCTCTCAGTTAAAATGATGATGAGGCAAAAGCTAAACCCATAATTCATTTGTCAAGAGCTATGCTACAGCTTCTGCCTACAATTTTTGGCTGTGTTTTTTCCTCACCTTTTGTAATACAAATTAAATGAGTTATTTCGAAATAAACATAGAATCAGAAGAATTAGGGGGTGAGGATAATCAGAATTTAACTTCCCTGACAAAGAAAATATTTCTCATTTTTAAATGAAAATTGCAGAGAATGCAAGGATGAACTTGAAGAGAAAAAAGAAGAACTTCTTGACACGGAAAAGGTGCTGAATGAAAGAAATTGGGATTTGAAACAAAGAGCAGCTCAGGTTAGAACATTATCAGAATAATCTGTAAATTTGATATGCTTTCAAGAGTTATTGGGGCCTTATTAATAAAGATATTTGGGTTGCATATTTTCATTAATGCTCCAAATTTTTACTTGTAATATGTGCTTTTGTTTTGATAGTTTGTCTTTTCCCTTTTTTAAAAGGTTACACAGTTGGATATGTCAATTCGTGAGTACAAGGGAGAAATGGAACAACAAATAATTATATTACAAGGTAGCTTGGAAAAAACACAGTTGCAGATAAAGGATTATAAGAAACAGGTACTGTTATTGTTCAAAATGCTCTTTAAAATAGTTGTCACCAGTTGCTCACTTTCAACAAATAAAATGTGTACTGTAAAAGGAGTTTAAACTCCTCAAATAGTTCTTCTCTTTATAACTTACTTGTCTTCACTATTTTGTTATTAGATTGAGAGTTTGGCAAGCCAGGCACAGTGTTCCAAAGAGGAGCTTCAAGAAAAAGAGTATAATATGCTTCAACAAGATCAAGAGATAAATCATCTTAAAAAAGAGAATGAACAAAAGCAGCAAAGAATAACAGATATTGAGAAAGTAAGTTTCTCTTATCTATTCTCTGCCTTTTTGTCAGTACTCCATGTTTGTTATCAGGCCAGTCATTTATTTAATCAATAATATATGATAAGGGAATAACATTGCCTTTTCACAGAAGGGACTATTGTCTATTTCTGAAGTATGTTCCACTGAACTCATTGAAGTTTACTTTGAGTTAAATAGACATAAGATTGTATGTTTCTTTTCATAGTGAAATGCAATTTGTTTGCTTTTCCATGAGAACATGCCAGTATTTTTGTGTTTAATTTTCTGATATTGCTGATTTTTTTCTTTTTCTTTAGACAAGCTTGTATACACATCTGGCAACAAAAAATACTGCTCCGTATGGTTGATAATTTTAACACACTCTAGAACTCTGTTTTTCAGACAATAGATCTGATTTTATGGTAACAAATAGAAGTATTAAAAATGAACAGGAAGACAAAGATTCTTAGTTTTGTTAAAAACACTTCTCTTTTTAGAAGCTGAAAGATCAAGAAAGGTGTATTGCAGAACAGTACAAAGAAATACTTGATTTGGGGCAACAGTTGAGACTGGAACGTGAAGCAGTGAAACAAATTCATGTGGATCTATTAGAGAGTCGCCGCCAACAGGCTCAAGCTCAGAGAGATGTGGATAGGATCTCTCTTGAACTGGAAGAAGTGAACCATATCTCACATGAAAAAGTAACCAATTTTACAAGATTACTTTTATGAGAAATCAACTGGCCCAATGCAAGACTCTTTCTAGGATCAGTTTAATATGTGTTTTGCAATCTGTTGGTAGTATTTCAGAGCAGGGTTTCAAACGGAGAAAGACTAAAGATTAAATCTAACCAATAATGCTAGATCAGTTTGAAAATGATATAAAAGAAGTATTTCAGATCTCAGGTGAATACAAGAAAAATAAAAGATCCTGCTGGTTTAAAGAATCAACTTTTAATGTGACCCTTAAAGTAGCTACACCTTTTCTCAAGCTTGTGGAGAAAACCTGAAAAAAAACCTGGTGGTTTTAATGAATAGCAGAGAAGTGGTGTGCTCATGTGAGTTCCAAAGAATTTCTTCTGAATTACTTTCAAAGCATGCATCTTGCCTGACCCTGATGAATTTTTTTGCCTGGCTCTGCAATTTCTGCCCTTTTGTAATTATTACATAGTACAGTAGGCTTTGGGATAGGTTCTTTTTTACATATTTCCCTTCCCTTCCCTTCCCTTCCCTTCCCTAAGGGGCTGAGACTTGAATGTGTCCTCATTTTCATGAAAACTTCACTCCAGTGTGTTCCTCCTTGTGAATCTCTTTCCACTTTTATAAATCATGATCGTCTTAAGATGATCAACAGCAGTGGGTCTAAGAAATATTTTGATGTCTAAAAAAAAGAAAAACACAGTTGTGAGCATTTTGTTCAGATATCCTATGCTATTTCTCGTAAAATATCTATTTATGAGGCCTGGATATTTAGAGAAATCTAAGTCATTATAGTTAATTGAAACAGGATCTGCCCAGGAAGATGACAGGCCATTATTGTTATTCTCCATAGGTCTTTCCAATACCCAAGTTGGGCACTCTGCGCCACTTTTTAGCAGACAAGCAGTCTGTGTTCCTGGATTTGTATGCCAACTTTCTATATAGTTGTTGATAATGTAGCTAGTTGCTCTATCATGTTGTTTCTCTAACTCCTTTTTTGCTACCCCTAGAAATTGCATCACCAAATTTTGGTGACAAAATAACAAGAAACAACAGTATTTCCCTCTGAAATATATAAGATCCCAAAAGACCTCACCCCTTTCAAAACCTATAGAAATTCCAGGTCCACCACTTTTGTGATATCACTACCTTTCCCTCTGTGGCTGTTGGCCAAACAAAAAATATAGTTTAAAAAAGAAGGTCCATGTCATTTGTACAAAAAGTCTCAAAAATAGCCTTAGAAATATTTTCTTGATTTTAGAAAATTAGTAGTGATTTTCTGTTATAAACAAACTTGAGATACTTTGGTATTGCTTCAAACACTCTTGTTTTTAATAATAGTGATAATTTTAATATATTTATTTTTTAAACACTTTTAATAAGATAATGTGGCAAGATCTGTTGATTTTTTTTTTTTTTTGGTGGCATAATTTTATTTCAGGAAACCCATGCAAATAATTTGGCAGAACAATTGGGGGCAGCTCAGGTGCGAGAAACCCAGTTAGAAGCAAGGACGCAAGCTGAGATTAAGAGGCTCACTGCAGAAATACATTTGCTAAAACAGTCTTTTTTATCAGAGGTGAGAACAAAATTGCTCTTTCCCATTTCTTTTGGATTATGTATGAGAGAATGAGAATCTCTCTTTGTATGGCTCTAAGAACTGTCCCTAACTTTTCCTTTTACTTTCTCAAATAATTTCTGTTGTACCAAGTGTGTATGAAATAATTTTAAAGCATTCAGTCTCTTTTCATGTAAGTTATGAATTTAGCATTGGTAAACTATTTAAGCACCATGGATATGCATAATAACAATAGTACTATCCCATGGCATACCTTAGACCATGGAATAACTTGCTGCTATGGTTGAGGATCACACTCTCTTTGTTAAGGTTTAGGAGGGGATAAAAACCCAAGTTATTACAATTTCTCAGAATGGTTTAATAGTTTATATTTCATCTTACAGTTGCAAGAAAAAGTATGTGAACCTTTTGGAATTTCATGGTGTTCTGCATTAATTTGT